AAAGTGTACAATTTGTCGACAGGCACCACTATCTTACGTATCTAGAGGAAATCTCTCAAAAATTGGTGTATCTAGTCACAGAAACACAAATTCGGTATAAAATTATGTTCTTTTGATAGAATTATTTTCTTTTTAGAAATTACCCCTTAAACGTAAGAAGAGGTGAAAGTTGTCGATAGACTCCCCTATTACTTACCTACTTGTTTGTTCTCTTGATAGATTAAAAATCGGATTATTAGGGACACCTAGGCGCAAGAAAATGTAAAAATTTATTATTATTATCATGCAAGTTCCTCTGGGGTTGTATCAGCATCCTAAAAACGGAAGATGTCAGATATTTCCTCTTTTATGTTCCCTTAGCCTTAGTACAAATTATCGGGGGTAAATACACAAGAGCTTGATTTTTAATCGGATAATTTTATTTTTACACGAAAGTTTTGTTGTAACGGAAAAAACTAGAGATTTAAAGTGTGTGCTTTTGATCGAGAGTTTGTTGCAGGAGGCAACAAAATTTGAGTGAATTAAAAATAAAATTATCCTGATTTAAAACCAAGATTATGAAGCGCTGTTTGTGGCATAATTACTAGGTCTGAATTTATTTTAAAAATCGTCATTTATATAGATTCGAAAGTGTTTTATAAGTGTACGGAAAGTATATTTATATATATTCGAAAAAATGGTCATTTATATATATTCAAACGTATTTTAAATATATACGGAAATATTTTTATATATATTCGAAATTAATGCAAAATATATACACGGTGTCCATTTTTCGGGTGCCACTATGGGGATCTCACTTATCTTAAGAGATAGAAAGTTGGTTAAATGGGGGCAAAGTTGCCAATTTTCGTGCTGAATAAGAATCTGAAAAGAAATTTAAAATATCTTCAATAATTTTGAAGATATCGCAAAAAAACGAAAATTTCTGATTTTCGTTTTTAATTTTTTTATGATAAACCTTGGATAAACTAATCGTAGTAGGCATTTCTAATTAACACATTATTCGGACACTTTTTAGTGGAGATTTCAAATATGGCATCCTGTTTTTAATAACTTTCAAGATTACGGAGAAACACGTGGCAACTTTAGTTTTTCTTATGGGCGCCATTTTGAATTTTCACATTTTGAGATTACGTCTTTTTTCTCTTTACAACAATATATCACACATGGTGGTTCAGTATCACATTTTTCCTAAAAATACAATTTTTAATTTTTTGAGAAGAGTGCTTTGGAAAAAGAAAACGTTCTTTTGTTGTAAACAAAAGTTTGACAGTTGGATCCATCTGTCTGGTTGCAGCGTTGTCAGAGAAGTAGAAATTCGATTTTCATCTGAACAGAATTGAACCTTCGTTTTGCAAGAAAATTATAATTAAAATTAGAACAAAATACATCACAACATGTGTTCAAATTGCCCACATCCTAATTTTGAGCACAGTGCCACTCTCTTCCTAAGATTTGCTATGGCTCTTGACACATCCCTTCTTCTAATCTTGTGCCTGAGAGTGCAATTCTATGACGAAGTTCATAGAAGTTCAAGAACGTATAACATTTATTAACAGATAGCTCCTCACTTATAATATTCTTATAAGTTTCTCTGATAAAAAATTAAGATTAAAATTTAAGAAACAGAAGATGGTACCAAATTTGTTGACAGATTACTCCTTTTTTATTAGTTTTTTTTCATTTTCACTATGGGGATCTCGTAAACTGTAAGAGATACAGCGTCGCTTAAATTCCTTTCTTCTGCTCCTCAATTCGACAGACTCGGTAGCCTCGATCAACTTCAAAAAATTCCAAAGAATTTATTGCACACATTTTGATCAACACTTGAAATAAATCTTGGGCACCAATAGAAAAAAATCTGACATGATAGGGGCCAGATGGAGTCTGGATTCGAATAAACATACAATTAACTGATTAACAATGACAAAAATTGATTCCGATACAACAAAATTAAAAACAAAATCCCTGCAGGAAAGAAATGCTTGCCTATACTTTTCATTAATATTTGTAATATTGTAATAGTTGAACCAGTTCCAATCAGAGCAGGGCAGAATACTTTCAAAGAGTATTTGAATTGACCCAATGTCTGTTGCCCAATGTCGGTTGTACAATGTCCGTTGTCCGTTCGATTAGACTTCTCAATCAAAAGTTATAGACTAGAAACCAATTTCGAAAGAAAATTCAAAGGGCTGTAACTTTTGAACTAGTAGCCCAATCTTGGAACTGTTTGAAATTATGGATTCTACAGGCCACATTCTATAAGAAAATTTTTTTTCCGGGTCGATCTGAGACAATTTTTTTTTCGGGGCTCAAAAAAAGGCAGTGTATACCCTTCCTTTTTTACCAAAAATCGACTGCACCAAAATTTCTCGGGAAAACACTTTTTCTTATTAATTTTGGTGCGTAGAATCCAAAACAATTCGTACTTTTTCGATTAAACTTCTCAATCAAAAGTTATAGACTAGAAACCAATTTCGAAAGAAAATTCAAAGGGCTGTAACTTTTGAACTAGTAGCCCAATCTTGGAACTGTTGAAATTATGGATTCTACAGGCCACATTCTATAAGAAAATTTTTTTTCCGGGTCGATCTGAGACAATTTTTTTTTGGGGCTCAAAAAAAGGCAGTGTATAACCTTCCTTTTTTACCAAAAATCGACTACACCAAAATTTCTCGGGAAAAGACTTTTTCTTATTAAGTTTGGTGCGTAGAATCCAAAACAATTCGTACTTTTTCGATTAGACTTCTCAATCAAAAGTTATAGACTAGAAACCAATTTCGGAAGAAACATCAAAGGGCTGTAACTTTTGAACTAGTAGCCCAATCTCGGAACTGTTTGAAATTATGGATTCTACAGGCCACACTCTATAAGAAAGTTAGGACATAATACCCCTCACGCAGACGGTAGATAATTAATCCTTCGGCCCCTGCTTGAAAATCAGTGATCGATTACCCGTTTTGGTCCCACGGACCAATATCAATCTTATGGGCAAACTATGTCATACGTTGTACCCTCTAATTTAATAAGTTCAAGTCACAATGCATTCTAAGTACACCTATAAGATATTTCTTGGAATTTTTCCAAGATATACTTCTTTTACTTCAAGAGTAATTAATTTAATGTGTTGGGGGTACACTTGCTCCGTATCAAGGGTGTTCAACTAAGTTTTAAAAACCTAACACCGTTTCGGACTCAGTGACCGAAAACTTCACTAAATGCTATACTGCTACTTTGATTCTAGTGTTTAAGGAAACGGAATTTCTACTATAAAATAATCTCCTTATTCAGAATTTTCAAAAGCACCGCCAGTCACAATTACACTTTATAACTCCAACTTCCAAGGGACGCACCCCACTTACACCGAAAATAACGCGCAATTTTTGGAAAACACCGATGAAAACACTTGCATTAATTAAATTTCGCCTGAAAAAAATCCAATTCCAAACAATTCTAAAAGGGAAAACGGACACCGTGATAACAAATTCAAGTAGTATAAACCAACCTTGTATTATACGTTAATAATCCCCCAGATTTACACTTAATAAATTGCAATATGCCCATATACAGGGTGTTATCCCTGGCGTTTAGACCGAAATAACGTCTACATGACGTTGTTTACCATTATAGTATTTCATTTCGGAATCAACGTTGCATTCTTGCCTTGAACTTTTCAAATGAGGTATTTCTTATAGCTTCGTTACAGTATCCGATACGATCGGGAAACGTACCAGTTAATGTTTAAATAAATTTGTATCGTAATTACGCCCAAAGTAACCGTTTGTGATGATTCTTTAATACATTTAGAAAAAGATTCGCACTCGAAAAAATTTGTGTGTCGTGATTAAAGAGAATTTTCCTTGGCTGAGGCAGTAACTCCGGATAAGGGGTTTTTTCGGATTTGAAAATGTTATACCAAATGCGAATTTTATCAAGCGGATGAATTAAGATTGGTAAGTGAAGATCGAGAAGACAAACAGCCAAGTTTAGACCAAGACGGTTAAAGGCGCCGAGGGTTTCCAAACTGCAGATCCCTTTATATTCTATTCCATTATGTATGTATCGTCGACATTATCTACAAAGTTTTATGACGTACATGCATGATCTATGTTAGATTAAAGAATGTTTTTGGTTCTGGAATTCGTTAACGTTTTAAATCAAGAAAAAATTTAATTTATTGACGTCAAGAATTCATGAAATTTGGATTTGAGAAAAAAGATTAAATTTTCATTTAAAATTGAGTTGTCCAGAGTTCTATTGAAAAAATGCCCAAAAAAATGGGCCCATCCCGTTCATGGTTTTCAGTCGCTTCATGTAGAGCTTCTCAAAGGATTTGGTAATGGTTGGAAGCAGGAACTTAACGTCATTGGGAAAAAATGGAGAAACACGAAAATCAATATAACAAATAAAAACCTTATGAGGTAAACAGTGCCAAAAGTCCAAAATTTCGTTTATTTAATTTTTTTAATGTTGGAACTATTGGCTTTTCCTAGGGTCTCTAGATTTTGCACCTTTTTGTAAACGCCTACGTACTCCAATTTGATATCGTGAAAAGCTTTTGGAAATTGGAACAAAGCATCATATAATTCCTGATAAACATGTCAAATATGCGATGCTTGTTGATGCGTCCATTGCTCGGTTACGGAAATTAAAATGAACCTGAGCTCGTAAAGTCTCCGGAATAAATTGATGGGCTTTTTACATTCCAGCAGTAAAATTTGCGGAAGTAACGAAAAACTTGTGGCGTTATTACCATAAAAATTAATAAAATGTGCATTAACTTCAGGTACTCGACGTTGATATATTGCTCCTATTTACACGCTCTAGTAAAACAAAACGATTGCTGCTTATGAAATCCAACTAACAAAGAACTGTTGCAATTGGAAATAAGATATGAAGTAACCCCGATTTGACATGCTACCCGTATTAGATATTAAATTTATTATTATCTTCTCCGCGACCTACTTTCTTAATATTTACAAACATTTTGCTTTCAGATAGAACACACAATGACAATGCCAAAATTATGCGAAGCTAGACTGGAGTAAAATGTTAAGATGGTTGGGTCCACGAAAGGGTTCCCCAGATCGACAGGCCGAAGAGGTAACCGAGGATCCCCTCGCGGCGATTGGCCCGAAACGGAAAGGCGACAAAATTTATTCCGTCAGCAGGTATTTGTATTCACCGTCGATTTTTCGTTGCACATTCGTTGATTTTTCAGGGTGAATCCGATATTCGATGACGGTTGCCCGTCGACTGCGGTTAAGGTGAAAACGGTTCCTACGCGAGATAGTTATCCGCCAAGCGCCGAAAAATCCGACTCGTCCGGCTATTGCGGAAGTCGCGTGGGACCTAGCGACGAGCGGTTGAGGTTGCGCGATGATTTGGTGGTGGAACAAAATTCGGCGTACGTTAAATCGATTCAGGTTGCACCGCTGTGCGTAAAATCGAAGTCGATACCATCGCTAGGTTCGGGTTCGTCAACCAGGGGTACGCTAACTACAATTCCTGAGGGCAAAGTGGACTTGGGCGTGCCAAAACCCATTTGGCCCAACGGACTGAAACACATTAGTCAATACGATTCGCTCGTTGACGAAGCTTTACTATTGTACACTAGCACAAGTTATGTTCCTAATGACCAAGTCAGTCTTGAGAAAGACGTTTCGCTACGTGAAGTTTTAGTCGACCTTTCGAACTGCATCAGTGCTACAATAGAGGGTAAGAGCGACGTCGCGCCGGAAGTTATGTTGAAGGCGGTCAAAGAAAAAATAACTGCCAGTCTAGGTTTGCTGAGAAACTCGACCGAGGAGGACATGCGTAAATTGTGCATCAATCTAAGCAAGCTTCAGCAGGTTAACTCAGTCGTGAGAGCCTTTACTAACTCGTCCTCTAGCGGGAATTCCAGCCAAGGTTCGCCGGAGCTGAACAGTGCCAGGGAGAGAAGAATTTCGGACGAGGCGGACGAAATCTATCAGGTTCCTTCGGGATCGTCCAGTAGTGGTTTTAGTGACTCCGTAAAACACTATCCCGTTGCTAAGTTTACGCTGCCACAAGACGACGCTGCCTTACAGTCGCAAGGTATTCGAAACGCAATTATATACGGTACGTTGTGTCGGACGAACGTTAAAGTTAGTAGTGCCAATGATAAGTTGTGTGCTCCAAATGGTAATGGCGCAGAGAGGAAGAGGAGTCTGTTGCAGTCGAATCCGGATAGCAAGCCGAGCGTGTGGCAGCAATACTATGGAGTCAATATTGCTCAAGGAAGTAGCAGTAAGCATAATCCCAAGCCTTCCGATGTACCACTTTACGTAAGTAGCATATCACCTAATTTATTGTCAGGCTTGAAGATCATAAAGAATTTCATCCATAAATAAATCGATGGTTAGTATTTATTTTATAGCATATGCTAAAATGACATTTTAATAAGTTTAATAATAATAATAATATTTAATTGTGAGAAGGTGAATTACACTTACACTCGTCAAAAGAAACGGGAAATTACATTAAACATTAAAAATAATAGTATATAACAAACAATATAACAAACAAACTAAAAACAGACAGGTAAAAACAGTAAAATCGCAATAAAAACGCTAACTAATTACATAATCTACCACTAGCCACAAACTCGTTAAAAGAATAAAATGCGTTACACAGAAGAAAATTTTTTATGCGTCTCTTAAATATGGGGTAGTCTAAAATCCTTATATCTAAGGGATGGCAGTTGTATAAATGTTTGCATTGGTACTGTACTCCTTCTTGTGATTTTGACAGTCTGCATAGATCAGTACGGATATTGTTTTTTTTTCTTGTGTGATGAGTATGTACGTCAACTTGTTGTGTGTAAAGAGATATATTTCGTTTAGCATAGCATAGGGCTTCAAGAATATAAATACAAGGAAGTGTTAAGATTCTGAGATCGATAAATGCTTGAAGACAATCGTCTCTATAACCTAAAGATGCCAGAACCCGAACAGCTCTACGTTGTAGTTTGAACAAGCATTGCCAATGAGAACTATGTCCCCAAGCGAGGATGGCATATGAGAGAGAACTATGCACAAAACAAAAATATGCTGCTTTAATGGTATTTAAAGATGTGCAGTTGCGCAACCGAGTAAGTAAAAATATCGACGTGTTCAATTTTTTGACAAATTATCGCAGTGATATTTGAAGTCTAATTTGCTGTCAATCACACAACCTAGAAATGTGAAATGAGCACCATTAGAGACGATATTATCTTTTCTTAAAGATAAAGGCAAGATAGTAGTCTTAGCAGGATTTAGTTTCAAAGTATTATCAGTGCACCATCGAGAAATAAGTTTGATGCCGTCTTGAATGTTGGCATAAGCCGAATCATAACACATACTACTCGATATTAGTGTAGCGTCATCTGCGTACAAAATACATTGCGTCTGCGGTGGCAAATGGGACGGTAGATCATTAACATAAATTAAAAATAGCAAGGGTCCAAGGATAGAGCCTTGCGGTACGCCGTATTTGATGTGTAATTTGTTAGATACTGCGTTGTTAAAGAGGACACATTGATACCTATTAGACAAAAATGAAGACACTAATGACAAACTCCGTTTACTAAAGTGATACACCTCACTAAGCTTGCGGACTAAAGTATCATGGCATACACAATCAAAAGCCTTAGTGAGATCAACAAAAGCAGCTATCATGTGTTGCTTATTTTCGAAATAGTGTAAAGCCTTCGCGGTGAAAGAAATAATTGCGTCAGAAGTACATCTACCTTTCCTGAAACCGTATTGATACTGATAGAGCCGCTTATTAGATTCAAAAAAGTCAATTACCTACTTGTTTATACAGAAGTCTCTCTATGACCTTGCTGAACACAGGCAAAATAGAGATTGGCCTGTAACTGCTAATACTCTTTCCATCCATTCCTTTTTTAAGAAGTGGAATAACCAAACCAACTTTAAGGTTTCAGGAAAAACACCTGTTTTGATAATGATGTTTGCTAATTTAGTTAAAGGTTCGACGAAAACACTAACGTTACGTTTTATTAAGGCCGCGCTAAAACCAAAAATGTCTCTTGAACTGCTATTCCTCAAACTTTTGATGGAGTCACGTGTGTCGACTTGCAAAACAAATTTAAAGTCGAATACCAAATTATCGGAAATCTTTAAATTACAAGAGCTAACGGGGTCGTTGGCAGTGTTAGGCAAATTGCCCAAGATCTCAACGATACTGCTAAAATACCTGTTAACATCATCGCATGTTAAAGACGAATGTGATTCAATATTACAATTTTTATGCGAATTTATTATTGACCACATAGATCTGCTGGAATTCCCAGAGTTTCTAATAAGTCGAATCTCTTTTTTGTAATGTAAAGAGAGCGATTTCTTTAAATGATATAAATTTGGTGATTTATATATATAATGTAGTTCACTGATCAGTTGTAAATTCGATCGGAGCTTACGTAATTTGTCAGTAAACCAACTGACTTTGTTCGTGGTCCCCTTTTTTGTAATCTTTACAACAGGGAAACAAGTATAGCAGAAGTTACAAATCATATTCATAAAATCAGTCCATGTTGCGTTACAGTCGCCTGCGTCAGAGTTTATAATTGATTTCCAATTACACGTTTGTAATTTACAAAAAATAGTTACATACCTGTACTCGATAAGGGACGGTATAGCTTGGCACAGGTTATTTCACTGCTGATGCGTTCAACTTTAAGTTCGATGAGTTGACCAAAATGGTCAGACAAACCAGTATTTATCGAATAACTAAAGCATGTAAAATTAATGAAAATGTTATCCAGGCAATTCTCTCCACGAGTACTAGTGAAGATTGTCTGGACAAAGCCGTTTGCTTCCAGAAAATCGCAGAGCAGTTGTGATTTGTAATCTTTACCAAAATGAACATTAAAATCACCTGACAGAACAATATTAAAATTAACTAATTTGTCGAGCATATTTTGAAGTAGACTCATAAAGGTATCAAATATCAAATTCTCCATTAGGAGACCTATAAATACATATTACAGCAGTGTAAGAGTTAATGAGAGTGCCACAGATTTCAAAGTGCATATCAACGGACAAGTCGTTAATAAATTTTAAAGGTTTATAAGAACTACACGATTTATTTAAAATAACCACTCCACCATGAGTCAACGAAGATCTGCAATGGAAGGACGACACTGAGTAGTCACCAAGTTTAAGAGATACTAGTAGTTCGCTGTCGATAAACCAATGCTCACTTAGACATATTAAATCGAAGTTTTTGTCAGTTATAAATGCTTCAAGTTCATTATAGTATTTTACATTATTAACCAGGTAAGTGAGTTTTTACTGGCGATAGGAGAAGTTGGCTGGCGAGCCGTCAGGCGAGCCTGTCATCTCCTACAGCCTAGTAAAAACTATTACCTGGCGTCTCGCCTGGCGTATAATGTACAATATTTTATTTGTTACTCATTTGTAAACAATAGTAAACGTAAATAATTAGTTCTTAAATTGATCTCGAAGAAATGTCTAAAATATCATATTATCCATGTAACAGAGACTTCGCATTAATTCTGGCCAATGAAATTACTAGATTACTAACTTGTAACATTTTTACACGTCAGCTGTCAGTTTTACAAGTCAGTAGCGTTTAAAGATGACGTTTACCCGTTTGCGTTTTGTCTTGTTAATCAACGTTTACAACTGAGTAACAAATAAATTTTATTTTTTAATGATTGAATATTAATATGAAAGACGGTTAGGTTGTAGTCCGATTGTCGGGTGACACGCTTATCGACTATCAACTGGAAATAGTTTGAATGAGTAGAGAGAGTAGAGAGTGATCACTTTAACCGTAAGGGTAGATAAAGTGAAGCAGTTGATTGTGCATTCTAGTGACATCTGTCATTCTTATTTCAAATGCACGATATAAAATGACACAGAACATATTTGTTTCTATGGAAACGATTGCAATTGTCAGAAGCTGTACAATGATTTATATGGCTTCTGCTATAAAATAAAGTCTTGTATTATACACGACGATAAAGGGAACCTAACCATCTCGTGAATTAACATCTTTCACTCGATGGTAAAACATCCCTTTATCGTCTTGTATAATAAATAACTATTAATTGATCTCGACCTGCATGGATTGTTGCGCCGATTTAATATTAATTATCTCGGACGTTCATGCATAAAGCGCAATGTAATAGAAATTCATGCCAGTAATTTTTTTAGTTTGTCACGCTTTGAGGATGCTCTTTGCATGAGTAAGTAAGTTGATTTTTATTTAACTTGACGAAAAGGCCCAATTGAAATTAACGTGGTCTTATACAAAGGCACGTTATGATCTATGAATTATGTAATGAAGAAATGACGAACCTCGTGACGAACAGAGAAGAAATTTGTTACGTTGCATGGAGAACACCAATAGAGATCAAGTTTGCATATTAGTACACTTCAACAACTACTATTTATTTGTTATTTATTATTTTATTATTTATTATCCCTCTCTTGTTCTGGGTCTTCAACAGGCTTGCGCCCAATTACAGAGTGACCCGGATAATGCTTTTTAGAATATATTATATATTATACTTCCGCGATATGTAGAGATCCCTACATTAATATTTATTGGCACAAACTTTGCAAAAATGCACAAATTTTAAAATTCAAATAAGCTACAGACACACACGGAAGACTGCGCTTTTTCTAACCAACACTCATTTTGCATAATTCTTGCATCTAATTAGTAATACCATATTTATATTTTATTATAAGTATACTTATGTCTTTTTTACTGCAGTAGGTTTGCTTCCGTAAACAATTCAAGGCAATCGTCTGTTTTAGAATGGCTAGTAGATTCCAAAATGCCAATCCATTCACTTAAACTCTGCCATCAGTCTTTATAAACTAACTGGTCTTGTCTTCTACCGTAATGCAACTTGGCATTTTGACCGCATTTTTTTTAAATATTAAAAGACTGTGCGTCCATCCGCCCGGACCTTGGAATTGTTTGCAATAGGTAGCTTATGGAGGGTTTAAAACCCACCTTTTACCCTTCATGCTATTTTATAAAAGTCTCATTGAAAGGAGTCTTTCCCCCGCGACTCCTAATCAAGATCAGTGGGTAGGGGATAAGTGAGGGTGGAGAGGAGAGGGTAGCTCAACGAAAGGAGTTAATTTCTACCAGGCACATCTCTTCTCCTCGACCTCTTTTCGTGATCGGTTGCACTTCTTCATCTCAACAGCACAGCAACATCGTCAAAATCTGAAA